CATGCGTGTTGAGTATTGTTATTACTATTAGTAGTAGTGTTATTAAATTACTATAATGTCTTATTGTTATTATATTTCCAATTTATTTATTACAATTTATTCTTCACCTAATTTCAAAGTGAACTTTTCTCATAAACAATAATCAAATATAGTTTATAAATTGCAGTGCTTCCTTACGATTAAGCAAGCATATCAGTATTCAATGCCATATGCTATTCAAACTAGAAAGCATTTCAGTGAGATGCTGCTATAACTTATGTCTTCGAGACAACGGTATGCTTAATTTCTATGCATTTTTTCTCTTAAATCTCATTTTAAATTATTTCATTTTATGTTGTTTTAGCAATTTTCGAATAATATTTCTAGTTATTATTAAAAAATCAGATAGTCATTACATGTCAAATAATAAATTAATTTTTTTTAAAAAATTGATCCCAAAAATTGACCTCAATTAAGTGATTTTTACGTAAGAAAATAATTACGTAAGAAAATATTAATCCATGCATTCAAAATGATTTGAATTAGTGGAGCTAACATCATTCTTAATGGCTCAAACTATAAATTTAACGAAAATGTAAATTTTAAAATACTAATGAAGTTACAAAAATAAAATTAACCAACGTCATAAAAGTATTTTGAATTTACTGGCAATACGCCATCTTCATGGTCATGATTTTCTTTCATGTTAGTATCATCTCTTTGTTTATCACGGCAGAAAATTGTGAAAAGAATTTTTTGAAATATTAATAAATAATAAAATCAAAAGTAATTGATCCCATCTAATCATTTTTAATTCATTTTAAATGCAAAAAATGAATTTTAAGTATAAATATGTACGTTGAAAATGATTAATTCATTTAGTGAATATTGTTTTGAGTTACAGCGAATTTAATGATTAGGTTCGATCAACATTATGAAATCATTTGAACTTATTTGTTTAACATTACATTTTTATTAAACCACCTTCATAATCTACTTTCATGCTGGTGACATCTTTTTATTTGTTATGATATAGGCTAAAATACTCGAACGAATTCTACCAAATGCTCAGAAGATAAAATTAATTGTAAATAGCAATTAATTAACTAATTAATAATTATAGGTGAAGTGAAAAGAGTGTATTTATGGTGTGAGAAAGACGATGAGAGTTAATAAAAATAGAAAATTGGGAAGATAATTAGAGAATTATGAGTAACGGAAATAACTTTATCCTAAGATGAATCACACGAAATAAATCCCTCAAAGGATCATTTAGCAGTGGGTTTGGGTGCAGCATGCGACTAATTCCGATTAGTGAAATTAATGCCACCCTGGAAAGGCGGATTTTCAAAGTTTTTTGGTTTCTTAATTATGTTTACTTCCCTTTTTTCTTATGCAAATGCTAAAAATTAAGGATAAGATTGTACTAAAATATGTTCCTACGAATTATTGCTCGATTTTGTTATAATTTATGGTTCAGAATTTATGTTTTCTTTCTCTTTCTCTTCCCCTCTCTCTCTTTGAATTGTTATTTGTGTAACATAATCCCTAATTAATTTATTTTTTTCATTTTTGATAATTTGAATCAATTATTTTGATTTGTATCATTTATGAATATATAATGGATGAGATTAATTTCATGATAATTATTTAATCAGTAATTAGAAAGTATAATTTAAATATATTTTTGATATGAAATATATTTTATAAGGAATACAATTTCTGTTAAGATTTTTTGTGTAATATTTAAAATATGAATAATGATTACTTTTAGTTTAGCTCTACTCTATATCGATATATCTTTATGGTTTTTTAAGATAAGAAGTATGAGAGAAGATTTAATTGAGCTAACAACTTCTGCCTGAATGATCTATGATAGGAAAATAAGAGATGAATTAGTGCTGCGAAGAATGTAACAAAAAGATGGATATTTTATGATAAAGATAGAAAAATTATAGTGGCAAATAGGTTGAATTAAGAGATGGAAAGTTTTATTCTTTATTTTTTTATTACAATTATCGCTTATTTTTTCTTTTAACTGCATATTTAACTTTATGAAAAATGATCGATCATAGAAGAGTGATGAGATTAAGCTGTTTTTGCTTTTCTACATTTATCATTTGTCATCGGAGTAATTAATTAATTATGTTTATAAAATTGTTGCAAAAAATTTATTGCTAATGACTTTAAGTGTTACTTAAATATAAGTAACAAAATGAAATTGCAAGATGGAAAAGGGTGAAATGACAAATAATGAGGAAAAAAAAAGGGAATAAGCTGCTTCTTTAGAAAGCAAATGACACTGATAAGTGATCTTATCAGCAGGACAGAATTATTTTATACGATCTGTTATTTTATATGATAATTATTTTACACGATGTGTTAGTCGCAAGTTCGAATGGGTTCTTTTTTTTTTTTTTTTTTTTTTTTTTTCTGCAATGTTCGTTCCTTAGCATTACAGCAAAGTAATTCGAACTTTATGTTATGCTTACACAGTTGTTAACTTATGCTTACAAATTGTTGAATAGTTCGGATGCGAAATAATTTAAGATTATGTTGTTAAGATGATTCCAATTGTTAAATAAAATTTCGATAGAAATAATATTGCTGAACTAATAGGTAATCTATCAGTTAGTGTTAAAGTTAACTGTATCTGAACAGCAATGAAGATAAAGTGATAAGATGTTATTATGTAGATAGAAACATTCATTCGTTAGATAAACATATCTATCAAGTTTAGATTTCTGATTATGAAAACTGATGATAAATTATAATAAATCTCATGTTTCCTGAATCTTTAAGACATTATTTTCATTTCGAATTTTCTATTTTTGGTTTCTTTTTACTAACTGCAAATATGGCAGACATTATATCAAATCCTGTTGCTTTATTAACTGAGAAGTTTTGAGTTGAAAATGCTTCAATTTGATAAGAATAAGTGATGTTATTAGAAGTGTGATGCTATTGCTAAATCTCATTTTGTCATTTGTAGAGGTGAGTGAAAAGTTAAGTTTTTTAACTCGTAATGATGGGTAAAAGAATGAAGCGAAGGACATATTTGTGAAATGGAAGGTACAAGAATGGGGTTGAACGGGGAGAGAAGAATAGTTGAAACTGGTTTCAGATTAAGATTGTTACAGGGTTATAAGTTTTACTGCGCAGCAGAATAAATAAAATTATCAAAGAAAGAAGAACTGAAAAACTAATAATGTGATCTGTTAGGTGATAGAGTTAAAGCTTAATAATATTCTACATGAACATGACAGATCGATGGAAATACATTTGAATAATTGAAATTTAGTTAATCCTAGCAGCGTTATGTATGTAAAATATTCTCACTATGATAGATAATTTATTTACTAATTTGTCTATTTTACCGATATATCATAAAGTTAACTAGAAAAATGGGATGAAGAGGGATCAAACAGAGTTATCTTTGCGACTCATTGAAAATCTCCTTTTTCCAAAAATTATAACAATGAATATTTTTTTAGGTTAAAAAATTTTGATAATATTATTTGCCAAGTTAAATGTGACTAACATACATTTATTTACTAAAAGAAAGGACAGTTTGACATTAAAGTTGTCATTTCATAAAAAGAATATTTTCATAAAAAAAAAAAAAAAAAAAGAAAATCGCTATAGCTTGTTATTATATTCGTATATGTGAAAATTTTACCACATTCAATATTTGAGTTTGGTGCAATTTAACTTAGTCTTACTACTCTTTATTTTGTATTATTTGTTTTAATTCATTTAAATTAAAATTCATAACTATACTGTTTCTTTCTTGAGGAAGTTTTTCATTTTTTCAATGATATCAAAATGACTTTATCGCAAAGTTTGAATATTAGAAAAATGTCTCATTTAACTGTTATATAATTTATTACCTTCAGATGTAAATTGTGTCTCCATTTCACTTGATATTTGTCAATATAATTTCTGGCTTTGGTGAAATTGGTGAGGAAAATTAACGAGATATTTATTTATTTATTTACTTCATCCTATCAATACAATCTCTCTAAATGATGAGTGGACATGATGCCGAATTTTTACGGAATTTAGTCGAAAACAGTAAGTGATTTGAGATTTTTGTTTCCTTATATAATCATTAAACAGTTGGCCTTTTTAGCAAGAAACAATGAAAACGAGGAAAAGCGAGGTAATATGAAATGAAATAACTAATATAGATTTAATGAAAGTTTCTTATTTCAATTGTCTTTTGATTAAATCTCCGACTATTTATCTTGTCGGGTAAAAATTAATGACAAATTTGCCGCTTTTTGTTACTCTGAAACGTGTAAAACGACATATTACAATGTCAAAGTGCACTTAACAAACCTCGAGCTATACGGTACATTATCAGACGATGATCAATCTTGCACTGTCGGTGTGTTTATGATTATCGTACCTGTCTGGTGGTAGTTGATGTTTCGATGTTATGTTAGGGTAGGGCTGTGGTCTTTTTAACCTTGTATAACCTTGAGAAATGATGTTTATTTTCGTGGATTTGCACGATAATAGCTATTAAATCATTCAAGTATAATAAACATCATTTATGTTTGGTTTATAGTTCTACGGATTCTTAAACTTTATTCTATTAGATATAGTTATCTATTGCTTTTTTCTTTGCTTTAAAATTCATTTCTAACACTGTCAATGTTTTCTTAGTTACTTTCAATTTTTTCTGCATTATTTTTTCTTATCATTCTGTCTTTTTCTTATTTTACATTTTTTCTGCGTCATTCGCATTCTTTGCTTTTGCATACTAAACTAATAATTTCATAAACATTTCTACCTATTTCTGTCATACTTATTGTGCACTTTCGGTGTATAAATTTTGTTGACTAATAATCTTTTTTCATATTGATGGTTAGTTCTTCTGTGTCATATTTTAAGAATTTTCGTACATTCTATAATTTTTCAAAAATCTTTTTCTAGCAGCATTTCAAGATAATGACAAATCTTTGTTTTCTTCTAGCTAAGATTATGAAGTAGACAGTCAGGCGATTATACTCTTAATGATTAATATTTTAATGACTGTATTAACCAAGTAATTCTAATTCATATAAAAAAAGAAATAAATTGCACAGGTCTAATTCTATTCATTCTTTTCAAATTGACATAGTTCAGTGATAAAAAAAAAATAATAATTACCAACCACCAAATTGTTTTCACCATTGATTTTACTTTAAGTTATACTAATATTGTCCGAATGAAATCTTTTGAATCAAAATAGAAGGGATTTATCAGGTAATTTGTTTTTGCATTCATTGTATGTGTCTGAAAATACTAGTTTTTTTTTTATTTTTTTTAGAAATCTTGACCGACGTCGTGAGTCATCTCGTTTTGCTGCACGTGATCGACGTGGTAAGGAAGCGGATATCTTTACGGATCTCAAAGTAGTGATACCAATTGTTGATGAAGCAACAGTTACACATGTGGATCGGATTGCTATATTGCGGGTTGCATTGACTCTTTGCCGGTTACGAAAAGTTGCAACGAAATGTATTTTTTTTGTTAACAAGAATTATTGATATCTTGCATTATGTAAATTTTCAAAATAAACAGCCCACATTAGGCAAATTCATTTTCCTTCAACTTTAGCTATGAAAACCTGAAATGCACGCCAGTTGCAGCGTAAGCAAGCAGGTTATTTAAAAACATCATTGGAATCTAGCCGTTAGAATTAGTGGGAGTAATAAATCTTCCCAATATATTGTTTAGCTTTATTTGAAAATGCCGGAAAGAGATTCCTTGAAATTACTGGATGTTAATTTTCAATTTTGATGCTCAGATTTCGATCTCTTTGTTGGATACCTTATGTGACAGTAAATATTCCAAATAGTTTTTATCTGGAACTTCAAAAGTTTTTTTTTTGAATTTAAATAATTTGAATCTTCAAATTTTTGGAATAAAAATAAATTTCAGTTTTGAAAACTAATCTCACTGAGGAACATCGATGTTTATGGTCTGAAACAACATTGCTAGAGTGTTTAGATGGTTTTCTGGCTATTGTTGACCTGGATGGTATCATCCTATACGTTAGTGAAAGTGTCTCCATCTACCTCGGACTTACGCAAGTATGTTACATTTTCCTTTTTTTTTTCCGCTTTTCTAAATAGATTGACTTAAACGAAATAAAAAATTTATGCCTACTATTTCTGTTGAAAATTGTATTGAAGACGACATCATAAATGTGAGAAAAAAAGTTTTTCCTCAATAACCCTTATTATCAGATGGGTGACGATTTTCGAGAAAGCATTTCTACTTTATGAAATTGTTCTCTCTACTTCTTGTTAGTGCAGCGATTGTCTGTTGTGTTTGTAATATATATTCATATAAAACTATGTATAAAATTATAAAACTAATAAAATTAATGTATATTCTTGCACATGTATATTCTTATAAAACTCACTTAATAAAATTTAAATTTCAAACTCGATTAAAAAGCAGTCGTGAATTTTAAGAGATAAAACTTATTTTAAAAGAAAATAATCTTGCTGATAGAATTTGTCTACTTTTGTTTTAAATCAAATCAAAAAAAAGAGTGAAAGAAAATTTTCAAATTTAGTAAGAACAAAATAGAAAAAATGTTTCACTAAATTTAAATTACGCTAAAATTCTGATTATCACTAAAAATAAAAATTAGAATTTACAATAATAATTTAAAATCAAAAAAAATATATATATATATATATATAAACTGATGGATTATAAATGATTTCTGCAGATTTTTTTTTTCTTTGTTATATAAATTGAATTGCATTGATAATAATAATGCAATTTATCTTTTAAACGAGCATTTCATTGAATAATGGTTTTAATGTTGCGACAAGTGATGCGATAGCGATTTGTGTGATACTTTTTGTTGGTCGCAAAACGCTGTAAAATGTTATAAATGCAATAGTAGCAAAAAGTATTGGTTGAAACATTTCGCATATCTGAAATTATCAATAATTATCATTCTGAATTCTTTCTATTATTTCGATTATTTTCTAAAATTTTCTGTCGCTAACTTTTCAGCAAAATGAACATAATTTTCAATTGCAAATACTTTAACTTTCAAAAAAAAAAAAAAGGTTAAAGAAAGTTTAACATTTTTAAAGAAATTAGTATATTTTATTAGTATTTAAATGCTATTTAAATGAAAGGAATGATTAAACTTACGAGGACAAATTTTTGTTCCCAATTATTGAAATGCTCCCGTATTAACAAAAATTTTGTCATTTCCATTATAATCAAATGTAGTGAAAGTAACGTCTAAAAGAATCGTTCCTTTTTTTTTTGTTTCTTTTAAAATGTGAAATAAAAACGAAAATTATTTCTTGTAATTTATTTTAATTGGAAAATAACATATAAAATTTAACCCTTCGTATATGTGCTGTCATTTGATATTTATAAATTATCGCAATTAATAATTTAGTTGCTTTTTATGCCTCAAATTATGAAACTTTTTGCTCTTTTATTTTAAGAAAAATTATTATCAAAAAAAAAAAAAAAAAAAAAAAAACTTGAATTTTCTGTCTTTACTTTTCTTATTGCAAAAATTAACAAAAAAAAAAAATAGTAAAAAAATTTATAATAAATTCAAGTTTAATTTTCAACTTGTTATGGCAAATTCAAATTGACAGGTAAGTAGTTATCACTAATTTTTAAAACGAAATAATTGAAAATATTGAAAATATTTCTTAAGTAAAAGTTAAATCCAAATATATTATGATAAAAAAAAATTTTTCATATTAACTCATACAATTCTTAGATTATTACAAATGTTTTCGAAAAGTAAAACTTATTACATTCAATTTTTTATCAAAAATTCAAAACAAAAAACGAAAATACCTGAGTAACTGATAAAATTTTTTGATAAGAAACAATACGTTCGAGTCGTCTAGATCGTCGATTAATTTCTGATAAGATATCAAGATTTGGTGTACGATGAAGCACTGCTGAATTGTTAGGAATTGTTGTTCGTTGAATTTCAAGCTGATACGGTCGATAAAGATAATACGGTGATCTGCACGTATATAACGTATCAACGTCACGGATAAACGTCATTATGAAGAATTTACGTTTGCAAATTGTTGAATGAAATAAATATACGATTGCTTTATATGAACATGAAAATCAATTAATCTTCATTTCAATCATTTGTATTTAGTAAAATTTTAAATTAACATATAGATTAAATTTAGGATTGTAAACGATATTTGAATAAATAAACTAAATAATAAAAATTAACTAGTGATAAAATAAATGAGAAAATGAAAACCTTTTAAGATAGATGGGAGAAGCGTACTGCATAGGTCCATTACTTTTGTTACAAAAGCATTAGCATCAGAAAATAGTTATCGATGTTTTTAATCGACTAATTCAAAATTAATTATCTAATAAAAATTACATCTGCAAAAAAATTAATTATCAAAATTTTGCATCATTCAAATTATTCCATTCTAAATTACTTTCAGTAACAACAAGACAAAAACAAAAATTTTTTTTAATGAATTTCATTCTATTTTTATACATATTTTTCTGTTATGGAAATGAAACTAACAAAATAAAATATCGAAATGTTTAAATGTGTTAAAATAAATATTAATTTAGAGCAATGATTACAGAAATATACTAATTTTTTATTCATAGATAAATAAGATTTGTTAAAAAGAAGGTAATAATAATTAAATTTGTAATTTAAATTTGCTTCAAAACTTATGGAAGTAATTAAATACTCAACTAATCGTTTAATCTTTTTCATTCTTCTACAATTAATTTTCTTTTTTTTTGCACGGGAAGAGAAAGATAGCAAAAAGAAGATTTATATTTATTAAATTTGTGTTTTTTAAAATTAATAATGATTAGTAATAGTACATGATGCAAAATGTGTTCATTATATCTATATAAAGTATTTTCAACTAAATCTTAATAATTACAAAAAAAGAAATTCTGATTAATTTACAGCTTATATCTCAAGAAGATAACTTGGAAAAAAAGAGAAATTTAATTAAATTTGTTAGGTTTATATGAAAATTTGGAATGCATAGAAATTTTGCTTTTTAAACTGATTATAAACTTAATTAATTAGTAGAAAGAAATTATAATTTAAAATGGGAAATCAATATAAAGTCATTTCATTGATTTCATTTAATCAATTGAAATAAAATGAAATTTATTCCAATAAATACGATTAAATAATATTAAATTAGTAATGAAATATTTTCATGCAAAAGAAATTAAACAAAAAAAAATGAATCATCAAAGGATATCATATTAAATATGAATAAAGTATTTAGTGAAACAGTGATAGTTTTAAACCATTCTTGCAAATAAAATTAAATTTTAATTCAAATTTAAATTTTTATTATTAGGAAAATGCTGCAATTTGTACTAGTTCCTTTATACAAAACTAAAAAAGAATTCTGGCAGATTTCAATTGAATTAAATGTTTAAGCTACTAAAAAATATAATTCAATAAGAAAAAAGGACATAATTTGAACTTGATTATTTTCTATACTCTGTATGGTCACTGGTCACACTCGGTGTGGTCAGTTTTCAACTTAGAAAAATATAAATTAAACTTTAATAATTGAGTTTTAAATATTATTTCAGCAGCAAAATTAATAAAATTTTAAAATAGATTATAAACTTGATCTGATTGACTGTTTTTGATATTTCATGGTAACTTTAGACTTTAAAAGTTAACTTTAAAGCAAACTTTCATTGCAGAAATTAATCAAATCTGCATTTACAATTAATTTCAATATTTTTTAAATAATTAATCACAAATCCAGATAGGGATACTTAAGAAATTTCGACAGATTTTAAAAGTTTTATTAAATCGAATATTAAAAATGTTTTAATATTTTCTTTATAATTCTGTTTCAATTAAAATCTGCCAATGCTGGAAAAATATAATTCATTTTAAAATGAATATTTCGAACTTACTGACTTTGTCTAATTTAATTAGAAAAAAAGACATAATTTGAACTTAATTGAAAACTTTCTGTGCTCTGTATGGTCACTGGTCACACTCAATGTGATCATTTTTCAACTTAAAAAATTTTAATATTGGAATTTAAACAATATTTCAGCAGCAATATTAATTAAATTTTTAAATAGTGATAGTTTTAAACCATTCTTGCAACTAAAATCAAAATTTTATTTCAAAATTATGTTTTAATTATTAGGAAAATGCAGCAATTTGAATTAATTCTTTTATATAAAACTAAAAATAAGTTCTGGTATTAGCAAATTTCAATTTAATTAAGTGTTTAAGCTACTAAAAATTCTAATTTAATTAGAAAAAAAGAAATAATTTGAACTTTATTCATTATTTTCTATGCTCATTGGTTACATTCGGTGTGGTCATTTTTCAACTTAAATAATTTTAATAATTGAGTTTAAACATTATTTAAGCAGCAAAATTAATTAAATTTTTAAATAGTGATAATTATAAACTATTCTTGCAATTAAAATTAAATTTTAATTCAAATATAAATTTTTATTATTAGGAAAATGCTGCAGTTTGAATTAGTTCTTTTATATAAAACTTAAAAATTAAAACTTTTAAAATCTGTCGAAATTTCTTAAGTAATCCTATCTGGATTTGTGACTAAAATTAATATTTAAAAAATATTTGAAATCAATTATAATTGCAGATTTAATTAATTTCTGCAATGAAAGTTTGCTTTAAAGTTAACTTTTAAAGTCTTATTAAATTATAATTTTTAGTAGCTTAAACATTTATTTAAATTGAAATTTGCTAGAACCAGAACTTATTTTTAAGCTTTATATAAAGGAACCAATACAAACTGCAGCATTTTCCTAATAATAAGAATTTAAATTTGAATTCAAATTTAATTTTAATTGCAAGAATGATTTAAAACTATCACTATTTAAAAATTTAATTAATTTTGCTGCTGAAATAATGTTTAAAACTCAATTATTAAAGTTTAATTTTTTATTTATATTGAAAAGTGACCACACCGAATGTGACCAGTGACCATACAGAGCATAGAAAATAATCAATTAAGTTCAAATTATGTCTTTTTTTCTAATTAAATTATGTTTTTAAGTTTTTCAAACACTTAATTAAATTGCAATTTGCCAATACCAGAACTTGTTTTTAAGTTTCATATAAGGGAACTAATACAAATTGCAGCATTTTCTTAATAATAAAAATTTATATTCGAATTAAAATTTAATTTTAATCGCAAGAATGATTTATAATTATTACCATTTTTAAATTTAATTGATTTAAATTGGATTTTATTTCAAATTT